CAAAAGAAATAAAGCGGAAGTTGTCAAAAGATAGCACAAGAGAGATGAAAAAAGAAAAGAAAAGAAAAAAAAACATGAATAAATTATGGCCTCGTTCACTTCGCGAATTTAAGTTTTCAATTCGAGTTGAGATGCGATATTTTCTAAGAGCTTTACACTGTAGTAAAAAAAGTTAGATGTGATATTTTCTGAGAGCTTTTTACTGTAGAAACTTAAAACTAAAAACTCGAATCGGTAAAATTAACGAGGCCCATATCTCGAGCTAGGAAATCATAATTGGGATTGTTGAAAGGTTGGTGAGAATGAATAAAAGGCCCAACACAGATTTCGGTTTATGTTTTTAGTGTTACTCGGAGTTTTGAGAAATATTCTTGATGAATTTTTTTATATCTCTTACTCCAAGAAGTTTTCAGGAACTTTCTTACATCCTATCCTACATTCTATCAACCACTATCCCTTAGCCCCATTACATGAGTGTCGAGGAATTTGATATAAGCACATAATTTAATACAAAATCCGGTTAATTCTCTCATGTTGCCTTGCTTTATTATTGAGTATTTTGTATTTTTATTACGTCTTTTTGCTTTGTAGGCGTTTCCGATGCTAAAGGAAGTCTAAAAGCTTAAAAGGATGAGTTTGGATGAAGTCCGGGGTGTCACGGCCTTGATAATGGGTGCCACGTCGCTCCAAAGCACGAATCAGGCCAAATTCTAGAGACCAGACCGCCACGGCGCCGAAATGGTAGCGCCATGGCTCTACCCTTGCCCAGCCACCAGCGTCGTGGCACTGCCTTAGTGGCGCCATGGCACCCAGCGTAAATCAGCATCGAAAAATTAATTGTAGCACCATGGCGCTACCAAAACGGAGCCGCAATGCTAGTTCGCGACTTGGCCATTAAGTTTCATAATTATAGGCCCTAAAAATGCGCTAATTGAGCCCGTTTGGTTCATGGATTAGAACCATGATATTAGAATCATTTTTTATTTACGTGTATTTTTTGTGAAAGAAAATATTGTAGCGAACCATGAACCATGATTCGAATCAGATAATGAATCCTCCAACCAAACGGGCTATAAACCACCACTTGGAGGCCTATAAATAGATCATTCTTAGGTCTTTTTGGATACCTTTAGCTCAGTTTTTCTAGCTGTCTTAGTAGATGAAAAAGAAGAAGAAAAAGAGGAGAAGCAAGTGGAGGCTCTGAAGAGAATCGTATGTGAAGAGATTCTTAAAGATCTTTCTAGTTCTTTATTTCCTTCATTCTTTCTATTTATTAGTTTTTATTTTCTTTTTAATTACGTTAGGTTAGATTTAGGTTTGGTTGAGGATGATTTCAAAACCATGCATGGATTTGTGATTGAATATTTTGATATTATTTTTCAATTTTCTATTGGAATTGTTATGTTCTTCCATTAATATTGTTTATGATTATTTCTTATTTTATTTGGGTGGCCAACTAAATAGGATTTGAAAATTATCTACTGCTAGATTAGGAATCTTAATCCGTAATTGTCTTGAATTCTTAATCGTTGGTAGCAAATTGTGATTATTGATTGTGGTCAAACTTTTGTATTCTTGCATGTGGAACATAACCTAGGTTGAATAATCCAAACTTGCGTGTTTATTGCGTGCATCAACCTATCTTTTTCATCTTAATGCTTCCGTTAGATTGAATCTAGAGAGCTTATCCTAGGTTGTTTGAGAAAAAAAGGATTAAGTGAAGAGCTTATTTTGCTTAATGACGAACTATGAAAAGATTAGTATAATAGAGCTTATTGTTATTTACGGTTGATAGTTTCAATAGGAAGCTGGAGATAATATTGTGTATTCATTATAATTCCATTGTCTAGTGGTGAAAATTAATCCTTTGACTAGTGTTTTATTATTGCTATTTTCTTTTATTAATTTCAAGATTTGTTTTCTTTATTTTCTTTTTAAATTTCTTTAGTTTTGTTTAATATCCCAAACCTCTTCTTTTATATTTTTATTTAACAAAATTAATAACTTATTAATTAAACTCAATCCTCTGCAGAAACGATCCTTACTTGCTACTAACTCAATAATGACAATCTAATCTAAATAAGGTTTAATTTAATAATCCGTTAAGAACTCATCAATTACCAATTTAAAATAGAGAATGGATTTTTTAAATAAAGTTGCGTTTTTTTCGTTTTGTTTGTTGCATGCCATCGTCGCTTTTTGCTTCTTTTATGCTTTTTTTATAGAATGATGATGAATTTGTTTTTTTTTTATTTATTTATTTTTATAAATAAAGAACATTGATTGTTTTGTGAATGAAGTTGGCTACAAATGCTACATATTAATATTACAAATAAACATTACTTCATTCTTTTAAAAGAAATTGCTTTAAAAAAAAAGGATAAATTGCTTTGGAGAAAAAGAAAAGGATGAGATTATTTTATTGCATTTTATTATAGCAAACATCTCACATATATCCTATGTTTTTAATAATAGTAAACGATATATTCACCTTTAAAAAAAACTTTTTTATGGTACCATACAACCAATTTTTAAAGCATATAATGTCCGACCTGCCTTCTCATTAATTAATTATAAACTAATAACTTTAAAAAAAAAATTTGAAAACCTTTTAACTTATTTTAACCTTCAATTTTTCAATGTTTTTAAAATATTTTCAGATTTTTAAAAAAAAAATATTAATTTGTTGTTAATTATTAAGAAGGGTAGAATGGACATTTTATGTTCCAAAAGTCGATCTCAGGCTACCAAAAAGAACTTTTTATAACAAATGAATATATCATTTAGGGTGTGTTCTTTTGCACAACTCAAGTCATGACTTGAGTTGTGTATATAAAAAAAAACACTATAGCAAAAAGTTAAATTTGAATTTATGTAAAAGAAAACACTGTAATAATATAACTTAAGTCATAGCAATAATTGAATTTGTTTAAGGTGCCTTTCTTAGTGGTTTATATTTTTCTCGATGCGTGCAATTTCAACTATTTTTTTTTTTTTAAAAGCAATACAAAATAAATCACAGAAGTTGTATTTTCAAACTATGTTGCAAAGGCTAATCTGTCAATTAGTGTTTCATTACAAGTTTATTTGAAAACTATAGGGTAAATTCATCAATTCAAAGGTCAAAATCAACCATTGGCATAGAAAATGCACAAATTTGATATAGATTTAGAATTCAAACGTATAGCTTCTAGAACATCCAAATATAGATCTACCTTATGATAAACCAAAAATACATGGTATAGAATCGTAAATATCCCTAAAAATAATATTACATCTCATTCCCCAAATATGTATGTGTATATATACACACACACACACACGCACATACACACATGAATAAGGAATTCTTAAGGTACGTTTGGAATTGATTTTAAAATAATTTTATTTTCAATTAAAAGTAAAAGCGAGATTGTTTTGAGAATTATTTTGGTACTGATTCTGAAAAATGCGTTTGGTTAGTTTTTTAAGAGATTGTTTTGAGTATAATAAAAAAATGAAATCATGTTTATTAATTAATATATTATAATATTATTGAGAAATACTAAAAAATAAAAAGTAAAAATAACTTTCAATTGTTTTTTAATTCCTTCACAAATATCATTCTCACTGTTTTTATTTTCAAAACATTTATTAAAAAAAATTACTTTATTTTCATTTTCATTTTTTATTTTTTAAAATACGTGAAAATTGTTTTGAAAAACTATTCTAAACACGCACTAAGTTACAATAATACATCAACAGCCCGTTGTGATTAATTTGCAACAAAAGCTTTATCGAAGGGAAAAGCATTTAATTAGCGTGTGCGCCTACTTTCTCCGTTCCCACGCCTTGTGAAGCCTTGACATTCCAGGCACGCCTTCACCTACACCTCTATGTCTACATCTACATGCCTTACCAACCTTATCCCTTCAACTGTCTGCATTTTCTTTTCTCAGGACCTGTTTAGCTCATTTAAATTAAGATATAATTTTATATTAGAACTTTTTATTATAGTAAAAAAGTTAGATGTGATTGTTTCTGAGGGTTTTTTAGGGTCCGTTTAGTTCGCTGATTCGAGTTTTTAATTAGGAGAAAGAGAGAAATAGACCAAAACTTGAGATGAATTAAAATTAATAGGCCAATAGTTTACATAAGTTAATAAATAGGTCAAATTACTGTTTTCGTTCATAATTTGTCTGGTTATGAAACATAACTTGACAAATTATTGTCCATAATTCACTATTTTTGTCCATAACTTGTCTGGCTATGAACCATAACTTGACAAGTTTGTCCATAACTTATCTAGTTATGAACCATAACTTAACAAGTTATAGCCTATTAATTTCTATAACTAAAAATTGGCCTATATACTTTCTTAAGCTTTTTATATTAGCTTATTTTCTACTATTTTTCTTTTTAATTCGAGTTGATATGTGACTTTATGTGAGTTTTTTTACTGTAATAAAAAAGTTAAATGTGACTGTTTCTGAGAGCTTTTTACTGTAACAAAACTCAAATTTTAAACTCAAATCGGTAAAATGAACGGACCTTAAAATACATCACACGTGACCCTTAATTCACAGTGCAGATACATACCACACATATACATTTCTGTTCACTACCAGTACTATATTACTTACTCGATAGGATGATCAATTTGTCATCTTCTTCTTCTTCAAACTTCTTTGCGATACATTACATATATATATACATATGTGTGTATGTATCAAATATTCTAAGAGAGAGAGAGAGAGAGAGAGAGAGAGGGTTGGGTAGTCTGTCGTAGGGATAGGAATTATAATGATCAATTTATCATCTTCTTCTTCTTGAAACTTCTTTGCGATACCTTACATATATATATATACATACATGTGTGTATGTATCAAATATTCTGAGAGAGAGAGAGAGAGAGAGAGAGAGAGAGAGAGAGAGAGAGAGAGAGAGAGAGAGAGAGAGAGAGAGAGGGTTGGGTAGTGTGTCGCGTAGGGATGGGAATTATAAATGGCATTTGCTTTCCGATGATGATCATGATAATAATTATAAATGTGAGCGCTGCAGAAAATGTGACGTACGACGGAAGATCTCTCATAATTGATGGCAAGAGACAACTCCTCTTCTCTGGTTCAATTCACTATCCTCGCAGTACTCCTGAGGTATGTTTTTTTTCTTTTTTTCTTTTTTTTTTTTGGCTAAATTTCCTTTTTATATATATAATGGACCTGTAATTAGATCAGATATAATATAATATGTATGTATGTTAATTTATAACACGTAATATTCTTAAAAAGGAAAAGAGATCATCACTTGAACTGTGGTTTTTCTTTTCTTTCTTTTTTTTTTTTTTTTGGTCTAATTTTTGTAAGGAGTCTTTCGAATAAAAAGAATAATTTCATTATCCCCTTCGAATTTTATTGTTTTACTCGCTAAACTTTAAGAACTACCATTTTTGCTTTCTCTCAATTTTAAATTAGGCATGTTTTAATTCTTTTGTTGAATTTATACTAAAACCATATTGAAAAAATAAAGACAACATAAATTATTAAATGACCACACTTAACTCAATTTTTTTTTCCTTTTAGTAAATATTCTAATAAGAAAGTAAGACTATTGAGAATGACTTATAAATTTAAGATGTATAGATGAAATTAATCCGAATAATAATAGACAAAAAATAATTTTAGTGATGTCTATGATTTTCACGTTCTCTTTTGGGACCAATTTAAGCAATATTGTTGTCCTATAATCTCTCGTATAAAGAAGCAGTCCAAAAATTGATATTAATAATGTCACGGGGAGAACAACTTTTCGTGCTCACACGTGTTCATTTCTTTTTTGCTTAACAAAACGTGATTTTGTCATATTTTCCACTCCTTACTAATAATGATAATCCTCTCGTGACGCTCCAGAACATAACTGTTGGTTGTTGTCTGACTAAATAGTCAGAGAGTTGACAACAAGTCAACCACAAGTTAAGAGCCCGTTTAATTGGAGGATTCGTTCTCCGATTCGAATCATAGTTTATGGTTTTTTACAGTATTTTCTCTCATAAAAAATACACGTAAATCGAAAATAGTTCTAATCTCATGGTTCTAATCTATGAGCCAAACGAGTTATAAGTTCTTGAGCGTAGACCCGCCACCGGTGATTAGAGACCAACACTTGCGGCCGGAGAGCCACCGTCAACGTAATTTATCATATTATAAATAATAATTTATCAAATTATTTATTTTAAAGGGATAAAATTTAATAGATAAATGTTGAGACCTAATAAAATTACATTTTTTAAGACATGATATATATATATATATTTTTTTTTTGTCATTAAATTTGAAATTATAAAAAAATCTTAAATTTTTTTTTAAACATAAGTGAAACTCAAGTGCATTAAGAAAATAAGGTTAAGATTGAGTTTAGACATAACAAAATCTTCTGGAAGCACTTAGGTTTTGTAATTTACTTGTCCTAGAATATTGCACTATTTTTTCTTTCGCTAAGTTTTTTCCCGATCTCCTCACGGGTTTTACTTTGCAAGGTTTTTAACGAGACAGTCATTTATGTGTACTTATTCGTATTATCTCAATTCAATAAAATCATATCTTTTAGGGGCATATGATATATTTTCTTTTTTAAAATTAAATATTGTAAAAAAAATTAAAAGGACCAAGGCCGGCCAGTGAAGGGCCTGGGGTTGGGCCCAGCCTTGACCCTTATGGACTAGAGTCGAGGGCCAGTGCTGGACCTGAGGGTTTCTCCTCAGGCCCGGCCATGGTACGACCCTGCACGGCCCAGGCCCGCCACGGGCCTAGGGTTAGAAGGGATGGCGGCCCGACACGGGTGTTTTGACATCTCTACATGATGGATGTTGGTCTAATAGGATAATTTGCACACTTTAAGGGCCGTTTAGTTCACTGATTCGAGTTTTTAATTCGAGTTAAGATGTTACTTTATGTGAGAGTTTTTTATTGTAGTAAAAAAATTAGATGTGACTGTTTCTGAAAGCTTTTTACTGTAACAAAATTTAAATTCTAAACTCTAATCGGTGAAATGAACATGGCCTTAAATAGGAAATTTCTGGAGTTTGAATGTTGTACTTCCGGATTTAAAGAGAATATGATAACTCACGCCTTTAAATTATATACTTACTAATTTTGGGCATTGAAACCATATAATTCACGACAACTTGTGAACTAGCGCGAGTCCCGTGAAAGCATCCTCTCTAGTCCTTAATGATCTCCATCTCACGATTGATCTCGGTCTAATTGGATAATTTGCACACTTTAGATTGGAAATTTGTGGAATTTGAATGTTGTACTTCCGGATTTAAAGAGAATATGATAACTTACGTATTTGAAATATATACTTAGGAGACGTTTAGTATGAGAGTTTTAAAACCGGAATTAAAGTTTTGGTTCAAATTAGTGTTTATTTACAAAAAGTAAAAAATAGTTTTAGTTTGACTTAACAAAATCAGTATCTGGTTTAAATGGTTCTGGTTCTAGATTTAGATGGTTTTGGTTCTAAGTTTGAATCTTGATATGATGTTTTAAATCAGTATCACCACTAGTTTTAAAACCACCCCCTCCCTTGGTCTTGGGTGGTTCAAACTCATGATTCTGGTTCTGAAACCAGAACTACGATTTGGACCTAAAATCATAAATTATAGTTCTGATTTTAAAATCAAAACTAGATTTCCCCTGATTTGAACTCTCATGCCAAAGAGAACCATACTAATTTTGGCATTGAAATCATTAATTTACGACAACTTGTGAACCGGCATGAGTCCTATGAAAGCATCCTCTAGAAGCGTGCACTAGATTAGCCCCATTTTCAAAGATCATATGAATCCTCATTTAGGAATCCACAGGAAGGTTAGAGAGCGGTTATAGAGAGTTGGGAGAAAATAAAATGTCAATTTTTTTTTTTAAATATCTAGAAAGTAGAAATTTTTTATCTTTATTTTTTAGAATTAGGTGGCGTAAATCCAACCTTATTTTATCAAAAAAGAAAAGGAAATCGATTTGTGGCTTCTGTAAAAAAGAGACAACACTTCACAGCTTCATTTATCTTTTTTTTTTTTTTTTAAAACTTTCACCTTATGATGGAGATATGTATCAAATTAATGTTAAGATATGCCTCCAACAACTCAGTCCATCTTGATTTATTTAAGTAGCAACAGTGATTCTTTTTTTTTTTTAAATGTATTAACCTTTTAGATATTTGCTTATAATGTAGGACAATATAAACAATTGACTTAAAGTATCTTAAATTCGGGCGTTTAGTTCACGCGTTTAAGTCAATAATTTTAATTTTGAATTTAGATTTTATGAGAGAATTTATTAACGAGAATTTTTTTATTTAAATTTCTTATTAAGAAAAAATATTATAGTAAAATCATAATTATAACTTAAAACGCTTGAATCAAATGGGTAATTAATATTTTAAATCTCCTGAACTGAAGCAAGATATATATCATTTTTTAATAATGTAATAATAAAAAAAAATGCTTTATTGTGAAATATATCCAACAAGTTAGTTTATGTTGGCTACCATATTGAATTGCAGATGTGGCCATCATTGATAGAAAAAGCCAAGGATGGAGGACTTGATGTGATTCAGACCTATGTGTTTTGGAACCTTCACGAGCCCAAACAGGGTCAGGTTTGTGATTAATTTATGTGATGTTTGGTTCATAAGTTCAGAATCATAATTTATAATTTTAATTTTTACAATTTAAATTTTTTATGAGAAAAAAATATTATAACAAAACTATAAAACATAATCTTAAACCAGACAGAACTCTAATATCTCTCGAACATGCCACTCATTTTATTTCATAAAAAAGAATCAATAAAAAAAAACATGAGACGCGTTTGAAACTCGTTCTAAAATAATTTTATTTTTTGTATGAAAATGAAAATGTAAACGTTTTCAATCTCAAACAGAAATTATATTTAAAAATGCGATTTGTAGTTTTATCAAGAGATTATTTTCAGTATAAAAAAACTTATTAATGTCTCTTTCTGCTTGAGAGAAGAGAAAACGAAAATAAAAAATGAAAAACGATTAAAAATTATTTTTTATTTCTCTCTCGTTTTACATTAAATTAAAAAAATTATTTTTTTATCTTTATTACGTTAAATATCATTTTAAAAATATTTTTATTTTTTTTAAATATAAAAAGATCAATTCCGGCACCCACACATATTTTTCTTTCTCGTTCAACAATGTTTGTTCTTTTTCTAATTTGGCCTTTACCTTCGAATTTGCTTTCAATACAAGGACAGTACGATTTCGGTGGCAGATATGATTTAGTCAAATTCATAAAGGAAATCCAGGCACACGGGCTTTACGTTTGCCTTAGAATCGGACCCTACATTGAGGGTGAGTGGACTTATGGGTATGCAACTTCTCTTATACACATATACTTGTGTAAGTTCGCCTCATTCAGTTTATCGACTCAAATTTTTAATTTAAATTAAGATTCTATTTATTTCACCGATTTGAGTTTAAAATTTGAGTTTTATTACAGTAAAAAGCTCTTAAAATCAGTCACATCTAATTTTTTTACTACAGTAAAAAACTCTCACATAAAGTTACATCTCAACTCGAATTAAAAACTCGAATCAGCGAACTGAACGGGCCCTAAAATGTGATTTTTATATGAGAGCTTTTAATTATAGTAAAAAAGTTAAATGTGACTTTTTATGAGAGTTTTTAAATGTAGCAAAACTGGAATTGAAAACTTAAATTGGTGAAATGAACGAGGTCTTAAAGTCCCGTTCACTTCACCGATTCGAATTTTGCTACAGTAAAAAACTATAAGAAACAGTCACATCTAACTTTTTTACTACAGTAAAAAGCTCTCACATAAAGTCACATATCAATTCGAATTAAAAACTCAAATTAGCGAACTAAACGGGCCATAAATTTATCTATAAGATATTATTTTTGATAATAAGATGTTATTTAAATAATATGCTAATTGAAAACGGGAGTTTCTGGAAGGACCTGAAAAACTAATCCACCGGTTGTTCTCTATTTTTGATTAGCTATCAAATTTTGTATTAAAAATTGTCTATTTTACATTTAATATAATTTTAATAGATCTAACGGTTAGAATTAATACTACCAGTAGCGAAACCTATGAAAGAAAGTCAAAAAATAAAATTCTTAACACATACACGTATATGATATATGTACACACAACATATACATATGGATATGATAAATATGTATGCATTGCATGCTCCTATTTCCTTTTGGTAGAAACAAATTTTCTTCTAATTGATTAATGATGGAAAGTAAAACTTTTTTTTTTTTGGTTTTAAGAATTGAGAAACAGTTTGATTCGTGTTTTAAAACTGAGATTTTGGAATCCATGACTGTATTGTGTTTTAAAAATCCATTAGTAGTAATAGCTGAATCATTTTTTTTTTTTTTTTTGGCGATAAGCTGAGTTAAATTTTCAAAATTAGAAAGAGTGAAAATTTGTTTAATTTGTTATCTGAAAACATAAAATAAACCATATATATTTCATCTAAGGCTCGTTTCGTATTGTTTATTTTAACAATTTTTAAACAAAAAAAGTAAAAACGTTTTTGAAAACATGTTTGGTGGTCTTGTTTCTGTGTTGGGCTTGTTTTATTAAAATAATAGAGACACCCCTTTATAAAAAATAAGTGAATTACATTTGAACTTTTAAATATGCTAAGTGAATTAAATTAAGGCCTAATTTATATGGAAGGAGAAAAAAAGGTGTACATAGAAAAAGCATAGTTTTATGAATATTAATTCTTTTTTTTATTAATTTCATTAATGTGCCTTTAATTATGTATTGTACCCTAATTAAATATGTCCCTCACAGTTTGAGAAGACTTCAATATTTAATCTCTAAAGTATGTAAACTGGATTAAATTAACATCTCTTGAATTAATGTTATTTCTCGTAAATTATTAATTTTACGTTAACTTACCCCTCACTAAAAGAATTAGAGAGCTAAGTTGACACCACACTAATAATTTAGTGGACAAATTAATTTAAAATCAATAGCATTTATTCGATAATCAGTAGAGCCACGTACATTATTATTTTGTGAGGAGTATTTTTTTTAAAAAAAAATATGAATATTTTGTGAGGAGTATTTTTTTTAACATATGAATATATACGGTTCTCTTATTTTCTGATAGAACTTAATAGCATTAGTATTGCCATGTTTACAGTGGATTTCCATTTTGGTTGCACGACGTACCCGGTATCAGTTATCGCACAGATAATGAGCCATTCAAGGTATGCATATATCTTTATGTGCATGATAATCGACATATTTTAAAGAGGAAATTGCATTGCAACATTAACATGTGTCGGCAAATCTGGCGATAAAATAAAAAATAGTAAAAATGAAGATAATATGGACACATAGTATTTTACGTGAAAAATCCTTAAAAAAGACGGGAAAAAAACCGCGAGACAAGTGTAGAGTGATTTCACTATGAAAAATGAGGATTGCAATATTCTCTCTAAATTACAGAGAGAGAACAATAAGAACCACTCTCTCATGTAAATAGGAGAAACACTTCACAAAAGAAGAAAAACTAGAGAAACTAAATTTCTCTCACACTATGAGAATTCTCTCTTAAGGGTGAGAATGAGATACAAAACTGAGAAAGGGAGGAGCTCTATTTACAGCTGAGCTCCCCATGAGAAAACCGTATGAGTAGCTCTTCCATCAAATGTCAATACCGAATTTGGTGCTGACTTCCCTCTTCTCTCTCCTTTTTTTTTTCTTATTTCCTTCAAAAGTTATGGATGCCTTTGGCTTATTAGGCAACGCTTACAACATGTACTACCAATAAATTCAAACGAAAACGCATAAGAAATTGAAGGGCATGCTAGATTCTAAAATTGAAAAATCATATAAGCACGCCAATTATCCAGCACAAAAATGTTTCTAAAATTGCTGAACTTAATTTTTAGAGTTATGAATTTAGATTTTTACTTTTTACTCTTGATTAATACCTTTTGACTGATATAATTATTTGAATAAAAAAAAATTAATTAAGAGTAAGAGATAAAAACTCAAACCCACACATTATAAAGGGTGTTTTTCTCCCCTTTTAACTTATGAATGCATAAACTAACATATAGTATATTTATTGTATACATAGAAGAGAAGATGCATTTTTTTTTCAATTTATTGTCTTCAACCATCATTATATATATATATATATATTATAATTTGTTGATTTCTGCTCAATGAAAATTTTATGTATGTAAAATGTTATATATTTTAATAGGTTTACTCTATTATCTTAAAAAGGATATGATGTTATTTTTGTAGTGCAACTCAAACTATAAAATTTTTAAGCAAATTTATAAATTGGATTAGCATATTTATTACTTATATATTTTCATAATTCGAAATACTATTTCTAAAATAATTTTGTGACAAAACATTATTAAAAATAACTAATTTTATATAAATTTTTTTTGTAAAAGAAAAACATGCAAAGATGAACAAACATTTTTGTTACTGACGGGACATTCCCAAGCCCAACTATGTGAATCCGTACTACTTCCCACTAAAATGATTGTTTTTTCCGGGAATTCATGCACAGTTTTATATGAAAAACTTCACCACAAAGATAGTGAACATGATGAAGTCGGAAGGTTTATATGCTTCACAAGGAGGCCCCATCATATTGTCACAGGTACATCATGAATTTGTCATTTATTAACCAAATACCTAGTTAATCAGTGTTTAGTACGATGATTCGTGTCATGATTCGAATTATGGTTTGTGACTCGTTACAGTGTTTTCTCTTATAAAAAATGCATGTAAACCGTGAATGGTTCTGAATCATGGTAATTTACGTATTAAACAAATATTTTATATGTTGGATCACACAATGTGTTTGAATTTATAAATTATATATATATATATATATTTGTATATGTATATGTATAGATTGAGAACGAATATGAAAACGTGGAAGGGGCATTCCATGAACAAGGAGCCTCCTATGTTCGTTGGGCTGCAAAAATGGCTGTTGATCTTGAAACTGGTGTTCCATGGGTGATGTGCAAGCAGAGTGATGCTCCTGATCCTGTGGTTAGTTAATTTCATCTTAACTTTATTGTATTACATATAGGGTTATCACCGGTGTCATTTAAATTTTAGGATCATTCTTAGTTTACCTTTTAAATTTTAAAAACTCTCATTTTGTCTCATAAATTTTAAATTAGTCTCATTTAAGCCTTTTTGTAAGAATTTTTATGAAAATCATATCGAAAAAAAAGGATTAAATGTGGTCATATGGGTTTTATCAGTTTGTTCTCTTTTTTTTTTCTATTTTTTTAACATAAATTTAAACAGAAAGAATTAGTGAGAACAATTTAAAATTTAGAAGATAAAGTGAGAGTTTTTAAAGCTCAGAAACCGGTAAATTGAGAATAACTTTAAAGTTTAAAGAGAACCGATGATAATAATCCTTAAATATATTAAGAAACACACGAAGAACGTTTAAAACGATTAACTTAAATGTAAAAACGGAGGGGAAACAAGTTGGACATTAATTTCATATTGTTTTAAGTGCAGATCAATACATGCAATGGAATGAAATGTGGAGAAACTTTCAAGGGGCCAAAATCACCGAATAAGCCGTCGATGTGGACAGAGAATTGGACATCTTTGTATATTAATAATCTAAACCCATTTAAATTTATAATTTAAAGTTCTATGGCAGTCATAAATAAAAATACATATTAATTCTCCTTGTTTTTCAATTTATTTTTTCATGAGCACCTCAATGAAGTTTTCTTCCGCTTTACATAATTTATAATTAATATACCAAATGATGGCTAATTATATTGGTTAGAGAATAAACTTTTTTGGTTATCTTTTAATATGCAGTGTTGAAGTATATGGTGGCCAACCCTACATAAGGTCGGCTGAAGATATAGCGTTCCATGCGGCGCTTTTTATAGCAAGAAATGGAAGTTATGTCAATTATTACATGGTATGAAAATGATACTCTTCAAAAGAGTGTTTTTTTTATTTTTTTATTTTTTTTATTTTTTATATTTCTCCGAATTATAGTGCATATTTATCGTTTTTTTAATCTTAAGTTTTTGCTAAGAATTTTTCTAATTATTTTTCAATTTCTAAGTACCATGGCGGAACTAATTTCGGCAGAACAAGCTCTGCATATGTCATCACAAGTTATTACGATCAAGCTCCTATAGATGAATATGGTGAGGTGTTTATATATATGGGCTAGTTTAGATTACGTTTAGTTCACTGATTTGAATTTTTAATTCGAGTTGAGATGTGATTTTATGTGAGAGTTGTTTACTTAGTAAAAAAGTTAGATGTGACTGTTTCTGAGAGCTTTTTACTATAGCAAAACTCAAATTGGTACAATGAACGAGCCTGTAATTCGTTGATTTGAGTTGATATGTGACTTTATGTGAGAGCTTTTTACTATAGTAAAAAGTTAGATGTGACTGTTTTTTATAACTTTTTACTGTAGCAAAATTTGAATTCTAAACTCGAATCGGTGAAATGAACGGAGCCATATGTGTATAAAGGCCCCGTTCATTTCACCGATTCGTGTTTAAAATTTGAGTTTTGCTACAGTAAAAAGTTCTGAGAAACAGTCACATCTAACTTTTTACTACAGTAAAAAACTCTCATATAAAGTCACATCTCAGCTCGAATTAAAAACTCGAATAAACGAACTAGACGAGTCCAAAATGATATGTAAAACATAAAAATATGTATATACAATATATGAACTAATGTTTTGAATATAATTTATTTATTTATTTTAAAATTTTTGAGAGATGAATGTGATTACATTTGATATGCTGTAATAAATTTAGGTCAGTTAAGACAGCCCAAATGGGGTCATCTTAAGGAGCTGCATGCTGCAATAAGAAACTGCTCTGGAACTTTGCTAAAGGCCGTGCCAACAAACATATCTTTAGGCCAAAGTCAAGAGGTGAAGTTCTCCCATATAAAGTCTATCTCTTTATTTGCCACAAGGATTAATTTGTCGTGCTTAAAATTGTTCTTATTTTTGTTTTTTACGTTTTTCAAGAAAGAAAAAAATAAAAATGATTTTAAAACGGCGTTTGGCACAATTAAAGACAAAAAACAGAAATGAAAAGATTTTTTTGTTTAGTGTAAAATGGGAGAGAAATGAAAAATGATTTTTGGTTGTTTTTCATTTTTTGTTTTTGTTTACTCCTCTCTCGAGCAGAGAGAGACATTACTGCGTTTTTTTATATTGAAAACAATCTTTTGATAAAACTACCAAACACATTTTCAAAAATGATTTTTATTTGAGATTGAAAACGTTTCCATTTCTATTTTCATACAAAAAATAAAATCATTTTAGAATGAGTTACAAACGCAATTTCTCACCATTTCTCTCTTTTTTTTTCTTGAATCTCTTATACGATTACTTCATCAGGCCTATATCTTTAGGGAAGAAGCAGAAGGATGTGTTGCGTTTCTTATAAATAGGGATAATAAAACTACTGCTGCAGTACAATTTCAAAACCAATCATATTTGTTGCTACCCAAGTCCATAAGTATTCTACCAGATTGCAAAACTGTCATCTTCAACACCGCAAAGGTTAGTGTATAGTTTTTCCAAGTCCTACATATTTTTTCGCTTTCTTCCCCTTTTTTGTTGTCAAAGTTATCACATTTCCATTTCCACACGTTGTCATTTTGTTTTTTTTAATATATATCAATAAGACGGGATAACTGATCTCATAGTCAACTTACACATACTAAGGCTCCGTTCATTTTACCGATTTGAGTTTAGAATTTTAAATTTTATTACAGTAAAAAGCTTTCAGAAACAGTCACATCTAACTTTTTTGCTATAGTAAAAAGCTCTCACATAAAGTCGCATCTAAACTCAAATTAAAAACTCGAATCAGCGAATTAAACGGATCCTAACTAAGTCGATATCCACTAAACAACTCATCTTATATCAACCTCCCTTTCCACCCTGGTGTCTTTCACGTATAGTTATATATATATATATATATATATATGATATATGATACTCATAGACACATTATGAGTCCGTTTAGTTCGGTGATTCGAATTTTTAATTCGAGTTTTGATGTGATTTTATGTGAGAGTTTTTTACTGTAGTAAAAAAGTTAGATGTGACTGTTTTTAAGAGCTTTTTATTATAGTAAAACTCAAATTCTAAACTCAAAACGGTGAAATAAACAGATCCTATACATGTTTTTAGTCACTTTTGCTTTCGTTTTGAATCGTACATCAAATACGCGCAGGTAAATACAAAGGCCAACACAAGAATTAGAAAACCAACCCTAACGTTTGACTCAGCGGATAGATGGAGAAAATTCACAGATGTCATCCCAAACTTTGAAGATACTACAATAAGAGCCGATACATTGCTTGAGCACATGAATATGACTAAAGATGAATCGGACTACGTTTGGTATACTATGAGGTACGTTTATTCAAGAACATATGTTATTAGTGTATTACATATACACATATACATATATATAATAACTCAAATGGTGTCATTTTTACATTTATGCTATCAGTGATATATATAAACTTAAGATTTACGTTACTCAATTCTCTTTTAAATATCTAATTTATTTATACTTAGCGGTACAAATATAAAATTTTTGAATTTCGTTGTCATGCCATTTAATTTCCTCAATGTTATATTATATATTGGATACAAAGTGTTCAAATTGTCAAGATATCCCTCGTGTTTTTTCCCCCTTAATTTTCTCTTAGCGTCTTTTGTTTTGTTTTTTTGTTTTTTTTGCTTTTTTGTTTTTGTTTTTTGTTTTTTTTGGGAATTCCTATATATCTGAAAGACGTGGGACATTCATGACAGGTTTGACAACAACGTTTCTTGCACTGAGGCAGTACTTCATGTTGAGTCTTTGGGACATGTTACGCATGCTTTTCTTAATAACATTTACTTTGGTAAGATTTTCTAAATTAAGCATTTTTTTTTTCCTGGATGGATTGAATATATTAACGGTGTACCATGAAAATGTTGTCAAATAGACAAATTAGTAAATAAACGACAAATACAACCACATAAACACACAAGAAAGAAGAAAGAAAAGAAAATAACCTTAAAAATACTAGACGATCTAATCGTACATTAATGGTCTAAAGAATACTGTCCATCTAATGCAGTAATGTTTGACTTACAAAGCTACGATTGTTGCGCGTTTTTCGCAAGTGAATAGGTCTCAAAAGTAATAAAATGAAAAATGTCGAATATCGTCCCATAAAAATTGAGTTTTTGAGAAATTAAGGAGTTGTTTAGTTGGAGAATTCGTACTCCGATTCGAATCATGGTTCATGATTCGTTACAGTATTTTCTCTCATAAAAAATACACGTAAATTAAAAATGGATATAATCTCATAATTCTAATCCATAAACCAAACGTCTCTTAAATTAAGTACTGTGAGTTTTTGTGACTTAATTTTATCTAGACAACCGAAATGTATATTAATTGAGGCAATTAATGCAATTAAACAATTTAATCTAAAAACACAAATAAACAAAATGAAATATAGAAAAGCAAATTTCACGGATGAGAATAGCAATACGGAAAGATTCTAGGGTCTTGACTGTACTCACTCTTTCTAAGTTTCTCCTATTTGGTAAATACTAGCCAATTCCAACCAATTCAAGGGTATGGGGACCTAGTTAAATCTCATTACCCCTCTTGAGTGTTAAATGAGAAAATATGTGTAAATGGTCGAGCTAATATCTCTGTCTAACCCGTTTACCTACACATTCATTAAGATTGGCCCTAAGTTGATTATCAAGATATTGGTTGTTTCTCGACCTCACAATCAAGACTCTCGAAAAAACCATCCAAGTATTGATCTCATCTCGGGCTCACAATACTTTAGACCGTGTTTCCCAATTCTCAACTATGAACTCAATCTCAGCATTGAATCCACAATCTAAGATCATCTAACTTGTTTCTCAACAAGAATAGAAGCGTTAAGCATGGAGAAACATACGAGAATTGAAAGTGGAATCAAAACTATCATTTAACTAAATATTCAAAACGTGGTCTAAGTGAGCTTCATCAAGCACCTAGATTAAGAGTTTAGCTACACATAATTGTATCAATAGTAAGAACAAACCATACAAATCCAAACATTAAATCCATAGCTCAACACAAATCTCAAGAAAAATACACAAGTTCAAAGTAAAGAGAGAAGAGAGAGAGAAAGAATGAAACTAGATGATGATGCAAGCTCCAAATCTTCAATTCCTTTTTCAATCTTCCTCAAAGCTTCCAATCATGGTTATTTTCCCTTTTTCATGACTAATTTTTCTAACCCTAAGTCTGTCTTATCTCTTCAAGAGTTCTCCCTTGATTGAGTCACAAATGCCTTTTATACCTCCTTAAAATGTGTTTTATTTTGGCCTCATTTTAATCTCAGCACGTGCAAATTTGCTATAGCAGGAAAAGAATCTGCTGCAGTGCCGCGAGAGAAATCAACAAAATCTTAGAAAATAGTCAGTGACAGAATCAGTCTTTCACTTCAGTAGGGGCGTACATTAAATTTTTTTAAACAAATTATCTTAGTGGGAGCATATAAGAAAATATATTTATTTTAGTAGAGGCATATATTATTTCAATAGAGATTTAAGTGTAAAATTTTAAAATTTTTAAAGGTAATATTTTTTTCAAAAAAATTTGAGTGAAGCCGGCTGTTCCCGCTCATCTTCAAGTGACTCCACCACTGAAAATTCACTGCAACAGATTTCAATGTTTTCTAGACAGCTTGCCTCAACTGCTACAGCGGGAAATGTATCCGCTGCAACGGTTTCCTATTTGCTATAGCTTCGACAAGGATTTCCGCTGCAGCAGAAATCACATCTACTGCAGTGAGAGCTTGTTTCCAATGCTCTCGGGAGGATTTTCTTCTGCAGCGTATTCATCATCCGCTGCAGCCTCTGGATTGGCAATTTGTGACTCCAAAATGCTTTCTTTAGACCCTTTTTATTTGCGTGAACACAAAACCTACAAAATAAAATAAAACACAATAAAAATGCAATAAAAATGCCGGAAACTAACGAAATAACAAAGTATGAAAACGAAATAAAATCAAGCTATCAATGATTTATGTAGTTTGTTTGTTTGTTTTGTTTTGTTTTTTTGTTTGTTTTTTTTTTTTGCATCGTGCATGTGTGCATGGAAAACTACTATTGTTTTCATTACTTTTTAAACGGCTAAGGATCTAATTTTTGAAAGTTACATTTGTTTATGTTCAGGAAACACACACGGCAACAAAAGTAGTAAAGGATTGGTCATGGAGAATCCTATAAAGTTAAATGATGGGATAAATAATATTTCCCTTCTCAGTGTTATGGTTGGACTACCGGTAATGCCATTATATATATATATATATATATATATATAATTAGTGCAGTTGTCTTATATATGTTTAACTTTCCGATTTCAATCATTTCCACTTAATTAATTAGCATTATATTAACCTCCTTTTATTAAGGATTCTGGACCTTTTCTTGAAAGAAGAGTTGCTGGGTTAACGAGAGTGGAAATTCAATGCACAAATGAAAACGAATTCTACAATTTTACAAATTACGAGTGGGGATATCAGGTATTTCAATTGATCATGCAATTTTTTTCAGCTCTAGTGCGTTTAACTAGATTTTGAATCATGATTTATAATTCTTTACAGTGTTTTTTCTCACAAAAAATACACGTAAAATGAAAATAATTTTAAATTATGATTCTAAATTCATGAACCAAACGTCCACTAAATGAAACATCTCTACGGAGTACTTAATATTCTTTGTGTCCTCACGAATACTTATGAACTAAATTAGAAAGGGTAACCGAAATATTAACGGAAATAATAGAAAATAGGCTAATATAAAAAGCTTAAGAAAGTATATAGGCCAATTTTAGTTATAGAAATTAATAAGTCATAACTTGTCAAGTTATGGTTCATAACCAGATAAGTTATGGACAAACTTGTCAAGTTATGGTTCATAGACAGACAAGTTATGAACAAAAATCGTGAATTATGGACAATAACTTGTCAAGTTATGATTCATAACCAGACAAGTTATGGACAAAAATAATAATTTAGCCTATTTATTAACTTATGTAAACTATTGGCCTATTAATTTTAATTCATCTCAAATCTTGGCCTATTTCTCTTTTTCTCCCAAATATTAAGTACTAGGGATATTACTGTACGTTTTGATTAATTATTGGAATTAAATATTGAACATTGCAAATTTTACAGGTTGGACTATTTGGAGAGAAGTTACATCTATACAGAGAACAAAATCTTGGTGATGTAGAATGGGATGAATTTGAAGTTGTCTCTGATTCCAATCAAACACTTACTTGGTACAAGGTACATATGTTTTTCTTATTTTTATAATCGAGGAAACTAAAACTATTTATTAGTAAGTTTACAGCTAGGGTTTTTCAAAAGAATATACGCCCCGTTCATTTCACCAATTCGAGTTTTCAGTTTTAAGTTTCTACAGTTAAAAGCTCTCAAAAAATGTCACATCTAACTTTTTCTACTACAGTTAAAAGCTCTAAAAAAATGTCAAATCTTAGTTCGAATCAAAAACTCGAATCCGTGAAGTGAACGAGTCAATAGTTTTACTCCTTCAAACTAAAAATGAGACTCGCTTTCTTTTTGTAGGATTTTTTTTTTTAATTGGCTTAGAAAAGTGTTTGGTAGAATTTCTCACCATTTGTAAATAATGAGAATTTAATTTATATGAATATAATTACTTAAATATCATTTAGGTGACGTTTGGTTCATGGGTTCAGAATCATGATTTATGATTCTGAAATTTAAAATTTAAATTTTTTGTGAGAGAAAAACATTGTAGCGAATCAATGACCATTATCCTAAACCATGCAAGAACCGTCAAAACAAGCGGAGCATTAGTTAATTTTCAGTTTTCTCCTCTTGAGTTCTTGTTCTTTTTTTAATTCTCTCTCTTTCTCGGTTCTATTTCTCTGTTGGTTCTATTTTTCTATCACTAAATTCTCTTTTTGTATAACTAACAAGAATTTGTCTGAAGATTTTTTTTGTAACTGTAGATACTTATTATGTTTCAAAAATAACTTTTGGCAGATTGTATTTGATGCACCGAAGGGAAATGGTTCACTGGCATTAAACCTTAGTGTAATGGGAAAAGGGGAAGCATGGATCAATGGACATAGCATTGGTCGTTATTGGGTTACGTTCCTTACTTCTAAGGGCAGACCTTCACAATCCTTGTAAGTTGGCAGCAATATTAGTCTATCTTAATTTGTCATCCTTAACTATTTTTAATACTGTTTTTTATTTATTTTTTATTTTTTATTTATTTTTTATATTGTTAATGTTTTGGACGCATTTAGAACTCATTCTAAAATAATTTTATTTTTTGTATGAAAATGAAAATGAAAACGTTTTCAATCCTAAACTCATTCTAAAATGATTTTATTTTTTGTATGAAAATGAAAATGAAAACGTTTTCAATCTCAGACAGAAAATTATTTTTGAAAATGTGTTTGGTAGTTTTATCAAGAGATTATTTTCAGTATAAAAAAATTCATTAATGTCTCTCTCCTTCTCTTTGCTCAAGAGAGAAGAAAACGAAAACAAAAAATGAAAAACGACTAAAAGTCGTTTTTCATTTCTCACTCATTTTACACTAAACCAAAAAATCGTTTTTATTTTCATTTTTTGTCTTTATTACGCCAAACGCCGTTTTGAAAATATTTTCATTTTTTCTTTCTTGAAAAACGTGAAAAAGAAAAACAGGATCAATTCCAACGTACTATCCAAAATTATCTGCCCAACCCCCCCAAAAAAAAAAAAAAAAAAAAAAAAAGTCTAAAGCGTCATTAATTTCAGCTTGGTTTTCCTTGAGAAGAAGAAAGAGTTAAAGAACTAAACTTTGAAAAAGAGTAGTGAAATTACCACCAATAAACTCGCAGTTACATTAATATTACTAATTGTAAATTACAAACATATGTGAATTAAGGTTTAATATATACTTGTTTTGACTAAGCCCTAAATCCTCTTTTAGTGTGCATATATATCCTCTTTTATATATATATATATATATATATTATATTATATTAATAAGGGTTTGTTTTCTATGTTCCTATCTTCTCTTTCTCTCCCTCTCCTCCGTTGTGACTAATACAGCAATGCTCGCTAAGTAGAGATTGTGTTCTTAACACTATTCTTACGGAGACAAATATTCTTAGAATGCATCAGTCTAAATTTTTACTCTTTACTTTTAATTAATATATATTTTAATCAAATAACTATATTACTCAAAAAAGTACTCATCAAATGTGAGAGGTATGACTCATGATATACGTACTCTAAGGATAAATTCAACAATTTAAGACCGACATCTTGAATCTTCTGATAAGTAGAGAGGTCTTATAATTTTGTCCAAACTTAATAGGTCTAGTGTTAACGGTGTAAATTCGTCAACTCGTTAATCTTAATTGTCCATTGATCTTTATTTTTCTTTTATTTTCTTTCGTTATTACTTATTTTGTTTCATTAATTTGTTTGCCAGGTACCATGTCCCTCGATCATTCCTCAAAGATACTGAGAACGTTTTGGTGTTGCTTGAAGAACTTGGTGGGAATCCTCTTCACGTTACATTGGACGCCATTTCTATTAATTTAAACGAAAACCAATCCTATAGTAGTCATCCTCCTATATAATTATTCTGCAGACATAATTACTATTCATATTATTATTTAATCGTAATTTTTAATTGGTTTGAGCTGAAATTTATATTAATATCGTATTCTCGATAATATCAAGTACATTTATTTTATATTAAGGTATCGTTAATTTCACCAATTTGAGTTTAAAATTCGAGTTTTGTTACAGTAAAAAATTTTCAGAAACAGTCACATCTAACTTTTTTACTACAGTAAAAAACTAAAGTCACATTTTAACTCGAATTAAAAATTCGACTCAACGAACTAAACGTAAATATGTTTGACAAATCAAACTCAACTCTTTATGTTATCTTTTAAACAGAAGGCATAAATGCATTATTAACTGAGTTTAAAGAGCCTTTAATAGCTAGTGCAAGAGCTCAAAGAGTGTCAATGACGTGACCAACAATTAAATGATGAGAAACTGGAAAGGGCAACATGGAAAGAGCACTAAAAAAGTGAAAATAAAAAATCAAGCATCTTTCTTAGCGGTGACGGTATCCAAGATCCTCGCGATGCCGCCTAACATCGCGCACACGCAGCTCATCGCTGTTCTCCTGGCACCAAGATCTCCTTACACCCATTCATGCCTTCATTATCAGTGGCGGAGTCAGCCTTTTACTTTAGTGAGGGTGTATACTGAATTTTTTTTAACAAATTATCTTAATAAAGGCATATAAGAAAATATATTTATTTTAATGGAGGCTTAAATGTAAAATTTTAAAATTTTTAAAGGTAATATTTTTTTTTTTAAAAATTTGAGTAGAGACGGCTGTCCCGCTCATCTTTAGGTGACTCCGCCACTGAATCATCACTGCTTATGTCACACCCATCCGCCATTCGTTTTTTTTGAAATTTTCAATGAGAAAAACTCTCAAACATACAAAGGGGAGAAGAAGTTGAGAGAAAAAGAAAAAGAAAAGAAAAAAGGCAAATTAAAGAGGAGAAAATAACTGTGTAAAAACTGCTTAAAGGAACTTTTCACGTCGTTTTACCAAGAAACGTGGTGGAAAGCGTGAAAACGTGCCTTTCAATGGAGTTGAATTTTGAGCTCACAAGAAAAGCCAAAAATAGTGACTTTTAACGACACCTATCTAGCATCCCACATTAAGGTCGTGTTTAGAATTAATTTCATTTTTATTTTTCATGTTTTTTAAGAAAGAAAAATAAAAACGTTTTTAAAACAGTGTTTGACACAATAAAATAAAAAATAGAAATGAAAATAATTTTTTAGTTTAGTATAGAATGAGAGAGAAATAAAAAATGACTTTTAGTCGTTTTTCATTTTTTATTTTCATTTTCTCCTCTCTTGAGCAGAGAAAGACATTAATGAGTTTTTTTATACTGAAAATAATCACTTAATAAAACTACCAAACACATTTTTAAAAATAATTTCTATCTGAGATTGAAAACGTTTTCATTTTTATTTTTATACAAAAAAAAAAGATCATTTTATAATGAGTTCTAAACGCGTCCTAAAATACTCTCATGTCAATCAAACCCAATAAGCAAACGTCCCGTTCAATTGTATGATTAAGACTTAGCTCTTTTCTCCAACTTTAACAATAGAAGATCTTGCCTCAGTCATGACTTTATGAACGCTGAAATACTCAACAAAATCATTCGCATGACCATGATTTCTACATGACTCCCGAGTATCGAAGCATAAACTTCACAATCTCAGACTGGCCCGAAAAAGATGGATGGTGCATTGAAATTCGGGCTGTTTATGAGTTGAGTTGATGCAGGGTATGACTTTTTTTTTCCGTCTCAAAGGATGTGAGTTACACATATTTAGCCTTAACGATGTTAAAAAAATTCACAACCTAATGATGTTTAGGGTGCGGGATGGATTGGGTGGTCGGTTTCAACATTCAAATAATCAAATACTCAAAGTTCAATCCAACATTCATAAGATTAGAACCATTTTCGATTTACGTGTATTTTTTGTGAGAAAAAACACTGTAGCGAACCATGAACTATGATTCGAATTGGGGTATGAATCCCCCAACCAAACAACCCCTCAAAGTTCATCATCAAATAGAAATAATAACTCCAACATTCAAACAGATAGAAATTCAAAGTTCAAACCAACATTAAACATGAAACAAAGTAGTCTATCCAACATCAAACATAAAGCAAAAATAAATTAGTCTACACTCATAAATTAGTCTTAACATAAAATAAACATAGAGGTTTAATTCAAACATAAAAAAACTAGAGAGTAGAAATGAGTTGTACACCTAGGGTTAGATATTAGATAAGGTAAGTTAGAGCGCGGGTTGAGTTGGAGTGTGCGAGCCATTATAGGTACAACCCACACCCCGTCCCAAAACTTTGGGCCACATATTGAATGGCCCGAAAAATAAAATTTTAATACTAAAAAGGGAAATAGTAGAAAATAGACCAATATGAAAAGCTTAAAAAAAGTATATAGGCCAATTTTTAGTTATAGAAATTAATAGGCCATAACTTGTCAAGTTATGGTTCATAACCAGATAAGTTATGGACAAATTTGTCAAGTTATGGTTCATAGCCAGACAAGTTATGGACAAAAATCGTGAATAACTTGTCAAGTTATGGTTCATAACCAGACAAGTTATGAACGAAAATAATAATTTGGCCTAATTATTAACTTATGTAAACTATTGGCCTATTAATTTTAATTCATCTCAAATCTTAGCCTATTTTCCTCTTTCTCCCTACTAAAAATTACATTTTTCGGATTGAATTGGGGTGGGGTGGGTTGAGCCTGCGGGTTTTGTGGGTTTATGAACAGCCCTAATTGAAATGCAAAATTTACATCATCGAGCACCAAAATTTTTTGAATTGAGAGTATGGTGATCTCGTTTTCATTTTTATTTTTTTTTAGTGGAAACAAAAATTTCTCATGTTCAAAATTTTTTAAATATATTTTTAAGTTAGTTCACTAGTCAAGTCGTGGAAAGATGAGATCGGTGTCGGGATCAAGCTTTCGACGTCATTAGGTTGAGTCAGGACTGGTCTGGGGTCTGGCCCGAGTATGGGCCTTCTCTGGCTTGACCTCAAAAAAGAAAATTTCGAAGAGTAATTTATCAAAATTAAAAGTTCATAAATCAAAGTTTTACTGTGCTTATTTATAGTTAAGAGACTAACGGTGCTAACAACCACAAACTCTTGACAGCGAGAAAACAAGGATATAGCAATCATGGAACAAATTGTTTAGCCACGTTCTTCATATTTTGTTTTCAAAGTTTATTTTTTTAAAAAAAAATGAAGACTAAAAATGCTTCAATTATTTTCAAAAAACAAAGGGTATCTGGTAATTGTTTTCTAAGAACCGTTTTCAAAGAACCAAAAGCAAAAGAGCATGTTTGGATAAATAATTTAGAAAATCCAATTTTTTTGCTTTCTTGCCATGGTCAAGGTCGGACCCAACCCCGGGAAAGGATGGAGTTGATGTCGGGTTTGAATGAGAGCTAGTGTCAGGTCGGCGGGAGGTACGTAAGGCGAGGTTGGGCTGACTGGCAAGGGTAGAGGCTGACGCCGGGCCAATAGACCAGGACGAAAGACGGGGTTCCTGCACCGGGGTCTTGCTAACGGGTTGGGTTAGTTTAGACTCCGCAACCCGGCAAACTATCATGGTCAACAGACCAGAGGAGGGATCGTAAGTATTCTGCTGCATAAATTGCTCAACGTAAATCCAAGCTGTGGAAACTTTTGTTTCCAATCTAGATTCATAACGTGTAAACTGGAAAAAAAAGAAAAATGTAATGGTATCAAAGTACTGTATCATTTCCAACAAAAGCTTACAATTTATGTATTTATGACAAAAGGAACGAATTCCCTTGATCTCCAACACAATCTGTATGATTTCGGTAATGAAGTTCAAATAATATCCAACCCCCCCAAAAATAAAGGTAAAAATTCTAGCTATGATTCTCGACCACGATCTCCAACATAAGATTCTTGTTTTTCTTTTTGGTTTTTTCTTCTTAAAAGAACCATTTTCACTCCGTCTATACCTTAAAACTATGTGAATTCTATTTACATAAATTAACACACGGGACCCCTGGATTCCACTTGGTGGTTAAGGGCACAGGTTCCATGGAGTGGTGCAGCATTTTTGTTGAACTGCAAACGCCAACAGCTAAACGCAACCAAAGCACAAAATAATTTACTTCACTTTCTCGCTTTCGTTTCCGCTGCTCGAATTCTCGGAGACGAATGGGATCCACCACCAAGTGCAGCAGCAGCAGACTCAACATGCGTGAGAAGATACTCATATATCTTCTTCCTCAGCCTGTCGATAGTTTCTGCCGAAACATGGGGATTTTCTACTTCATCCTTGCTAGAACTGATATTATCCAACCAGTCATTCACACTCTTCAGCTGAGTCAACATCCCTGCTATTTGGCCATTATCCGACAACGCAGAGGAGTCAACGTCCGCGTCCAAGAACCTCTCGACAAATCCCAAAAACCAATCCTGGGACTGCAACCGCAGCTTTCCGGCCAAGTCAACTGCCTCATCAAAGCCGTTTCCCCTATCCCATTCAGGCGGTGGTTGGCTTAGAAGCTTCTGATTGATGGCTGATCCGTCCCCTACTCGACGAGGGGTTCCTGGTGCACTTAGCTTGGAACCAATCATCTGACGAACTTTGCCCTGGACCTGGGACTTTGTTGCGGCATTCTTGGTCGAATTCTCAAGGACTAATATGGGTTGATTTGTAGAAGCAATTTTCTGGTTTTGACAGGAATTTGCAGATGGCACTGAAGTTGAAGCAGGCTCTTTACTAAAGACTGAAAAAGACGATAAATTGGTGGCTAATGCAGCTTGTACCCAAAAGGCCGCTTGTTTACGTTTCTCTGATGTGACCTTTATGGCTTCTTCTGAAGGGTTTTCTTCATGATCTGGGGATGTACTTGCTTGTATAGTTTTAGATAAAGAATTAGTAATGGTACAAGCACTGCTCAAGCTAGAATGGAGGGTCAAAAATTGCTCCACCGCAGGCTGTGGGTTATCTTCCTTGGCAGAGCTAGTTAACTCCGAATATATGCTGCAGGAGCAAGATAGAAAATAAAATAACTATAACAGAGTTGAGATGATCAACTTAAGCCAAAGATTAGATACCAAAGTTATTTTCTTTGCACTTCTTTTTTAGCTGTTCTAAATACAAAAGTAAATAACACAATATTGCACATGGAAAAAAAGATATATATACCGTAAAAAGGGTCACAGATAGTGATATCAAGTTATTTTTGCAACTAAAAGCATAGCTCTTGCTTTCCAAACATTTCATGAATCAAAACAAACACAATTTCTTTGTAACCTACCAATTCACCTTTTATGTTTCTGATTGAAAATGCAAAACAAGATCTTAGATAAGATTCAGTGGAGAAATGTTTTTCAATGCCTACTCGCTACAGATGATTTGTCTGAAGCGAATTTTTGACCGCATAGCAGTTGTTGCTAATAACTAATACTCACATATCTGAATGATTTTATAAGACGTGGGATTCAGTCATTTTAAGTAATTCAAAAGGCTCATGCTGACCGCATAAAGAGTAAATAATTTCCCACCCGAAGCCACAGTGACAAATACAGTGATGGCTGACGCAAAACTCCATACTGACTTAAATGCACTGAAAACCAAAACTTTGATGTCATTTTGCAATAACTTGCTAGAGTTCCGATGTCTAAGAATTAGATTAGAAAGTCAAACTCGAAATCTGCCTGTTTTCATCGGTTGACGAGTCTGACAAAGCAAGAAGACGTGCCATTGACCATAGCGCAGCACAAGTGACTAATACTAATATCCTGTCTGCAGCGTACATGTATCTTTGATCGGTACATGGCAAAATGTCCCTTCGAAATGAATGAAATACATGATCACCAAAATCTAACTGAGATGCATGTGTTAAGGTTAAGGCCAAACTGAACTCCAACGCAGTTAACACAAAAACCACATACTCATTACTTTAGCTAGTCCAGCAATATTTCCTATATCGTCATCCATGAACAGCTCCTCCATCATTCCTTTCCTGATAACTATAGGCAACCGAGTTTTGAGTGAAAATAATAGTCTCATCCTTATATTGCATGGCCAATAAAGTACTCAAAAGTACAATACTAACCATAGCAACATGACGACTGCTTGGCCACTTTTTTATCTTCTCTAATAAAGTTTCAGATCTTCCAAGAATGGGAAAGAAGGAAATGATAATTTGCAGGTAAAAGGAAACCTCATGTGAAACAGGTTGGCCTTCTTCCCAAAAAAAAAAAAAACAAAAACAAAATAATCAGAATCTTACTTTACATTTTATCCCTTAATATCCTCCATTCAGCCTAATTTTGGTCGCTTGGCCCCTTACAGATACATAAGGATTAAAACGAAGCCATAAAAATTTCCAGAACATTAAAGGATCATAATTGACATAACTGGGCGGCATAGAGGGTTGCATACGAGTGTTTTGGACACTTTATTTTGTAGGTGAACTCAAATCAATACTCCATCCCACAAGAAACTAAACTTAAACATGTTTATATGATGTGTTCACTCAACAAAGTATAAACCAAACATAGTTTATGGATATTCCGTACAACCAGGATAAGGCCGAACTTGTTATGTTTAGTGTAAATTAGGCAAAGGTTATGTCAAAGGGCAAAAAAGGAAGCCAAGCCAAGCCGAGGTTTCTTCCTAGGTCTTTAAGAGAACATGTCCAACAATGAGGAGTACAATACCTTAGACAACGAAGTAAGCTCTCTGCAGCAGATGCCTCCTGCATAGCCTCTATTGCTGCCGTTTGTGCAGCATCTCTCCGCTTCATAACTTCCTAGAATAACATAGGGGACAACATAGAATAAGAAATAGAATTGCAGAACCATACAATTTAAGGCTTAAGCAATATTCACAAAGATGAAATCAATCAAGATTTGAAACATGCAATAGAAAGTTTGCTTTCCTCAAAAAATAAACCATGTTATAAGAAAAGAAGCAATGAGTTATTTTATTTTTGAAATTTTTTTTTATTTTTGAAATTTTTTACCCAGATCATTGCGCAAGAAAATTGGACAAGCAACTGCCAAATGCAGAGAGATTGATATTGAATAAAGAAACATATGATAGTCTCAAAAGGATTCGATGGATAAATTTATCTAATAGGTATAATGGGCGCAAGAACTGTTGACACAAACACAAAAGACTTTCTTTTACTTTCTAAAATAACAACATTACAGATGACTCATGTTTCAAACCAGTTTTCTGAGATCAGCCACTTGGTTCTTTGATCTTTCACAATGCTTGGTTCTCTATTCAGCAAGTTTTAAGTATGTACATTTCAGCGAAAGTAAGATACGGATGAGAAGCATGCATTTTATTTAAATATAAATGCAAACACACACACACACACACACACACAGAGTAAACAGAAAGTTGATAGGAACTTTTCCTAAAGCCAAGAACATCATCAGCATTGGAGAAGTTGCAGAAGAACTACCTTTCCGAGCTTCGCAAGTGACGTTGGGAGCGAAGCCCATGAGACACTTGCCTCTGTCAGTTTTCTACTATTTATCGGCACCCTCACCATGTTTCCAGGAATCCCATTACTAGCCAGCTCGCCTGATGATTTTTTTCCAAGAGATGTTCTTTGCTTATCCGTCCTGTTCTGATCATTTGAATTTCCATTTCCAGTAACTTTCTTTGTAGACATCTGACCCCTATTCTCCTCTTTGGAGGACTTTGCAGATATCTGGTTCTTATTTTCATCCTTAGACGGCAACTTCTCACTTGAAGTACTTCTTCTAGGAATCTAGAAGAATTCAAGTTTGTTCAGAGGATCAGCATAGTTGTTTGACTCGTAATTAGTTATAAAATAGATAGAAAACCAGCGTCAAAGAAATTGAAGAATGGAGCATGGAGGGGGGGAAAAAATCACTTTCAAAAATTTGGCAAATCCCTGAAAGATTATATTTATTCTAAGCAAAAAACGAAAGCACACAATTCAGAACTGCAAAGAAAACATACTAAGTTGTTCATCAAACATTGAAACCAAAGAAAACCCATAAAAGAATAATACCAGTTCAAAACATCCCAAGCCTGCACGCCTAGACATCACATTTCAATTGCAAAACAAAAATTTCTACTCTTTTAGCAAGGAAACTAGAAGATGTCTCATCAAAAACCTTAATTGGTAAGCCAACGAAGGAAAAAAGAGTGCATGATCGCCAAGAACCTCCATCGAAAAAATGGAAAATGAATCACCAGTTCACCAATGCAATGAGCACATTGTCACGTTGTTCTAACATCTAACCTTCGAAAACGTTCTAATAGAATATTCGTCATTGGAGAAAATATAACTCAAACTAAAGAAAACCCAAGAAAGAACACAATCAAATTTCTACAACTCCACTAAAAATCACCCTTCCAACTTCTCAAACCATGATTCAAGAACAAACAGAAGCTTACAGAAACGCGAAGATCGGGCTTCGGATCAAGCTTAGCACCCCTCAACTTCGAACTCTCCCTACCCTTAACTTCCATATTCCCTTCCCAGCTCTTCCTCAGAGCCTTGGCCCCAAGCTCAAACCCCTGAACCAAATTCCGAATCGGATTTCCAGCTCCAATTTTCTTCCCACCTGGGCTCGTGGAACGAACCGAGCTCCCTTTCTCCACCACCCCCACCTTAGCCTTAACCTTTGCCTGATGTTGCTTCACACCATTAGAGAACTTCTCAAAAGAGCTAGGCAGCGAGTAACAGCTTGTTGGAGACGACGGAATCGACCGCGAATTCAGCGACTTCATCCTCATCAAGGCCACCGACTCCTTCTTCACATCCACATTCAACGCTGCCGCTGGTTTCTTCGAATTCGATCTCGCAACGACAAGATCTTTCTTATCCAACTTCTCCAATTTAGAATCGGATTTCACCTTCCCATTCTTGTTCCCATTGTTGAGGAATCCAAGAGAGTGAGTCGCCACAATGTCCTCGGGGCTTCCCACGCAGGGGTGGCGGCCGGGGACGGGCCTGACGCCGCGGAGAATTGGAACGGGAGACGCCGATTCGAGGCGTTCGACATGGATGAACTGACCCAATTGGATTTTGTCACTGAGAATTAGATCGTCGTGTTCGTCGGGAAGAGAGACATAAGTGGCGTGAGAGGAATCGGAGACTTTAAGGTAGAATCCTTGGTTCGGAAAGAGCTCGCTTCCAGCGAGCGCCGGAACAATGCTGATAACCTGTAAAAGAGAGGATCTGTGTTCGCCGGCGACTTTCACGTCCGTGTTCATGTGCTGTAAAAGCTTCAGAAGCACTCCTGTAACGAGATTCGCCATTTTCGGAGACCTCGAAAGAGCATCAGAAAAAAAAAAAAAAAAAAAAAAAAATCTTT